CATCAAGGCGGTTGTCCCTTCGTGACTTGCTGTGTTGAGGTCAGCTCTAGCCTCGAGCAACAAACGCACTACTTCCAAGTGGCCATTGCTAGTTGCAGCCATCAAGGCGGTTGCGCCGCCTTGGTCAATGTCTGCACATGTCCCATTAGGATTCAGTGGTTTCTGAAGCAACCTTGTAACTTCGACAACTTGATTGTTCTCACACGCAAGGTATAGTGCCTGCCAATTGGTTTCCTCAGGCGCACAGTAATCCAAGACTACTAACTGCAAACTTGGTAGTGGTCTGACAGGCGTATCATCGTGCAACTCACCCACCTCTTCACTCAAGAGTCTTTGTCGAAACCACGAGAACCCAACTCGATCCGCCAGGAGCATCTTCAGATCCCTAACAGAACGTCCATTCTCCACCATGTAGGCCAATTCCTCCTCATGAAACTTTGTGAGAGTGGCACCTGCAACCGTTATAATTTCCATTGCCCCAACCCTAGAGGAAATTGTTGATCCAATATGGCTAAAACTCGCACTTTGATATGGAAGCGCACGAAACATCACGACTCTCCCACCCTCAACACACACACACACACACTTAAGATATTCGGACACTGATGCGGTTTGCCACACGCCAAACTAGGTAAACAATTGCCTGAGTAAAACGGCACTGGTAGGTTAGAGGCCATCGTTCGAAAGTTGCAGGCCATCGCCCAAGTGTGGAGGCCATCGCTAGTAGGTTATGCGCGCAATCACAAAGCTACACCAAGCAACAAGGTTGGAGGTCATCGCTAATGGGTTGGAGGCCATAGCACCAGGTTGGGGGGCCAGCGCTACTAGTCTACAAGACACGAACTGAAAGCAGCATCAAACAACAAGGTTGGAGGTCATCGCTAGGCCATCGCACCAGGTTGGAGGCCAGCACTACTAGTTTACAAGACACAAACTACAAGACACAAACTCAAAACACCGCATCAAGCAACAAGGTTGGAGGTCATCATTAGTACGTTAGAGGCCATGGCACCAGGTTGGAGGCCAACATTACCAGTTTACAAGTAGGTAGAAGTAGGGTAAAAGAAGGAAGGGAACCGACAGACAAGTCTGCCGACGAACCCTTCCTCCGTTACCCCCTAGATTAGAGCAGGTACGTGGGAGTGGCCAAGTCCCACATCCCGCGATATCACCCAGCTTCGTTGGTCAAGGTTGGTGATATCGCGCCTTGACCCCCCTGCTGAAATAAAGAAAACATTCGAAGGAATCCCTGTGGCTGCAAGGGTTACACACACACACGCCTCCCATGAGGGGAGGCTCAATGAATGTGCACAAGTGCACGCAAGAGGGACAAAAAATGAAGACATGAGAAGAAGACAAGACAAAACGTACCGAGGTATGTGATTGCGATGGAGGGGAAACCAAGTGCACAAGGACAACCGATCCACCCCAGCAAGTGTTTTGTTGCAGCAGAGGTGGGAGCACCATCGTTTACAACATCAGCGGCGTTGCTTATGTCGCACCCGCAGAGGCAGTCACTCCACGAAACGTGACGCCGCGGCGGGGCCCAACACCGCAAGTGGCAAAAACCACCGCCATGGATGAGCCAACTTCAATGATGGGGGTGCTTGAACGTGACATGTGCGGCCATTGGGTTGAAGGAGGGCGCTGCAAGCGCGCCAGCGCTCGCAGCGCCGCCAAGCTATTGGTGGACCACACACAACCCCACTTGGACAACCCAATCGGTGGTGGAGGCGGAGCCACCTACCACTGCGGCACCAGCAGCGGCGGCGGCAGCAACAGCGCCCAGTGAGGCTCGCCAGGTATCTGGGATGAAATCACAAGCTAGCTTCGCTCACGCCCCAGGGCCAACGGCAGATCAGGACCACAAGCAGGATTGGTCTGCCTATTGGCCAACCAGACGCAGGCAGGAATGACTAGCCACCGCCGGAACAGCAGGCGGGGTCCGCAGCATCATATTGGTCGTCTCACTGGTACAGCAACGATGGGCACGAGTGAGACGCGAATGGTATGGCTAAGAAGTGAGCTCCCACAGACCGTGGTCGGTCCTTCGGTGGCCCATTCGTAGAGTGAGTCGTCGATGCGAGACCATATGTGTTGGCCAGAGAAGAAGCCATGAGAATGGGCACAATGCAAGAGGGAGGTATCCAGGATGTGGCAAAATGGCTGCGCTGCTTGAGTGGTGAGATGGGTAATAGGCGAAATCAACAAGGCTCAATGCAGGTCAGTGACAATCAAATATTGGTGACACACAGCTTTCTTGGAAAGAAAGTTGTATAGAATGAATGCATGCAAGATTGCAAAGATGATCGTGCTGGCTGGTACTATGTGCAAATTGCATGAGCTGAAGAGGTGAGGAGGAGTGCTACTACGCTCTGAGCCATGCGCCTGAATTAATTACGCGGCTGGCGTTCTCGGCATCTATGTTCTTCCACCCCGGCGTGCTATAGAGGGATTGACTTGAATTCTCTGGCCAGCCATGCATGTGAATAAAAACACAGCGATGGGGGAGAGGACGGGCTCAAAAGAAGCAAACGCGCGCTTTTTATCTGAAAGAATCCGGAGGGCTCGGTGAACATTGCCAAGCAATTCCCATAATTCCCCGGATCAAGGCATTAATGGCATTATCGGGATGTTGGATTCCTCCTGTACGCAGCAGCCTATCACCTTCAGCTTCGCCGCCGCTAGTGAATTTCGCCCCCGTGCCGTAAGCCATGACATGCAGGAAAACTTTGGCCCTGTTCTTGTCAGACCGTTCGTCTTCGCCACCCTAGCGATATTCCAGTGGTCGATCGTGGAGATTGCTAGGGTTTGAAGCGGCCCGACGACTGAAGTAGGCTGATCAGGTTTTTCGTCGCGTGGCCGCAAAATTGTGTTTGACGCCATGTTGAGTGTTAGTCTCTCGGCGTCGTGGTGGAATGTGGCTGCCGCCTCGTTGGGACAGGCGTGGAATGTAGGGAGAAGAGACTGGTGGTGAAGACTGGTCTTTCCAGTCGCTGTGCGTCCAAAGCTGGAGATCCTTGAGGTGTTCCGGAAAAATGTTGGCCGCAGTGAGCAGCCGTGCAATGTAGCAGAGCATCGGTGTGTTGGATGCATGAAGCAGATCGATCGCATTTATGAGCACGAAAGCGGTAGATCTGATCAGCGGGCGTTGCTGTGGCCACGGTAGCTGCTTCGGTGTCAATGTAAGGTGCGAGGGGACGAAGCGTGTGGGTGCTGGTAGTTCAACATCCCATTGTGACTTGTGGGATGGGTGGTGAGAGGCTGAGGGTGTGTGTGTGTGTGTGAGCCAGTGCTGAAGTGTGGGTTGGGTAATAGGTGGATGGAAGATCGTGTGTCCTGTGAGCCTGTTGTTGTGGAAGTGTCGTGGCGAGGTGGTGTGCGAGATCGCTGCCGGATGGGTGGTGGAGCCCGTACACCTTTGAGAGGCTTTGGTCGATTGGGTGGCTTTGGTGTCGGTGTCTTGGCTTTGGCAGGTGGTGGAGCGGCTGGCGCTGCATGTGATGGAGCGGTGGAAGGTGTTTGAGATGGAGCAGCTGGAGTGGAGTTCGCTGTGTTGGCTGCGTTGCTCTGTGGTGCGGCGGACTTAGTGGCTGAAGTTGGAGAAGTGGTGGATGCCGTGGCAGGAGCTGCTGGTGGAGGTTGGCCCGCAGGAGGAGGGCCTGGCTGCAGTGGTACCTGTGCTGTGGAGCACACAATTAGCAAGGGCCCTATCAGTATGGAAACTCCCGTGATAGTTGCTGATTACATTATAGACCTTGACTCGCAGGAACTGCAAAGCGAAAGATCGGCCAAACGGTATTGCTTGAACACGCGCATTAACATTAGCCCATTATGCGCTGGCTCTTTACAAGGAGATGGGAGTCACAGCTT